ACTCTCCTCCAGCCTTCCCACCTCTGTTCCAAGCGCCTGGCAGGGTGGGCAGACCCTGGCACAGGTGCCCAGAGCAGCTGTGGCTGCCCCTGGATCCCTGGCAGTGTCCCAGGCCAGGCTGGACAGGGCTGGGAGCTCCTGGGATAGTGGAAGTTGTCCCTGCCCATGGCAAGGGGTGGCACTGGATGTTTTAAGACCCCTCCCAACTCAAACCATTCCATCATTCCATGATTCTGTGACCAGCAGGGTGACTTGAGCCTCACCCTGCTCCGAGCAGAGCACTCTGTCACCAAATGACCCTCCCAGACTCTGCCAAGCCTGCTTTGAGTCATGACCCAAGAGGAAGGATCTGGTCACACAGAACCGTCTGGGAAAGCTGAATCCCTTAGAAAACTTGTGCTCTTCCTGTGCAGAGCTGTGGGATTTACCAGCAGTCAGTTCTCCACCACAGGTGGGACTGGCACCAGTGCAGGATTAAAGCTCAGCAGTGCCAGGTCTGGGAGCTCTCCTGGATGCAGCTCCTGGAGATGATGAGCTCCTCAGCCACCATGGAAGGGGGGACAAGCAGAGGCTGGAGCACTGCAGGCAGCTGAACCCCACACACACAGGACACTGCCAGGCTCCTTTTAGGAGCTGAAGTGTCCCTGCCCCATTTGGAAACTGGCTGAATCCCAGCAGAGATCCTGGTGGGAAGTGCTGAGAGGTCTCCCACAGCCACAAACAGCCTGCAGAGCTGCTTCTAATCGCACCCAGCAGAAAGGGAGGCATTTGTTCCACATTAACTTCTATTAACTTCTCCATATTTCCATCCTGCACCCTTCCAAGCGCTCAGCTCCTTCTCCACGCTCCCTCCCGCAGGTGGAAATCAATCCTGCCATGCCCTAGCCTGCCCCAGCGTGCTGCCAGGGTGGTACCACAGCTCTGCAAAGCAGACTGGGGAGATAACTGGTGCTAACTGGTGCCTCTCCACCCCCAGGCTCACGCCAGATGAAATGATTCATGAGGTCATGCTGAAAAATGATGACAAAAATAACTTGTTCTGTGAATCAGTAGTTTTCACTGCAAATGAGATTAAAAAATAAATAAGGGCTGTGTTCTGCTCCTGAACCACTGGCAGGGAATTGGGGAGAGCAGGGTAGGAAACCGCCTGCCTGCTGCCATCAGGAAAACTCAGTGGAGATTTTCCTTTTCTAATTCCAGCTATGATCTAACTGCAAGTCATTAGAAAAAAAAATATAAATCAAAAAGTAAGAAAGAAAGGAATAACTAAAAGACAAGCTGCTGGCTGGCTCCCACCCTGCCCATTCCATTGCAGGGGGAACAGGAGGACTCTCAACACCCTTTTGTAAAGCAAGATGTGAGATCTCCTCTGCCTCTGAGGAAGGACTGAACTGTCTTGCTGGAGCAGGAGGAGCAAAACAAGCCTGGGGAGGCTTGGAAGGGCAGAGAGGCTCTCTGTGCTGCCCAGAAAGTGGGGACCAGCCCTGGATGGTCCCATCCTCTGCTCCTGCAGGCAGGGAGGGAGCAGCACAGCACATCCCACACCCGCAGCAAAGGAGAAGAGACCTGCTCAGCACCCTAATGGGAAACAGCTTCTGCCATCCTCCCATAAGAAACGATGGAAGCTGCACATTCCAAAATCCTGCAGCTCAGCCCATTCGCCTTTTATCACCAGGGAAATCACATCCTGGAGCTGCCTCCTTCACGTTTATCTGCATGGATTAATAAAATAAATACAGGGACTAGAGGGGCCTGGGGAGCCCAGGGCCGTGGGGCAGCAGCTGGGGAACAGCCCCATTCCCTCTGAGTCTCGTGATTTCCGTGCGCCGCAGCCCGGCAGCTCCACACGCAATTCCTGCCACATCCCAGCAGCCATGAGCAGCTCCTAAGCCGTGCAGAGGGACAGCCTCCCTTCCCCAGAGCAGGGAGCACGTGTTTGCAATCTCAGGCTGCGGCCCTGTGCGAAGGGAACAGGGCACGGATACAAGTTTGGGAAGAAGGGGCTGCGAGCCCTCGAGCGGGAGCGTTCAAAGCCCACGTCACACGCAGCTGTTCCCTTCCATGTGCTTTCTGGGATGTGTTTGTGAGGAGCCCAGCTCCCACAGCTGCAGCTGGGAGTGCTGACAAGGGCTGTCAGGCCCTGAGAGCTCTCCTGCTTGTCCTCCCTCCCCCGGAATGACTGGCTGGAGAAAGGGCGCTCAGAGGGCGGATTTAATCAAAGGCTGACACTTGCAGCACTGTGTTTATAAAGCCCAGTCCTGAGGTGGAACAGATGCTGCTGGAGAGGAGCACTGCTGCTTCCCAGGATGAGAGACAGGAGGGGAAAGGCTCTGGGCTTTGGGCTGCAGCCGTGTCTAAGGGCACAGGATCCCTTTTCAGAGGCATCCACAGGCACAAACACGGGGTACAAGAAGCCCAGCAATCTCTCAGCTCCCAGCTGTCATTTCCAGCCATTCTGCCCCATTCCTCTTTTCCCTCCACAGCCTTTAAGGAAAGAAACCAAGTCCAGTAAGGGCTCGAGCTCTGCTGATTCCTCCCCTGTGCTCAGCAGCCTCCCCACCACCTCCTCATGCTCAGCCCGCATGGATCCCTCTGCAGATGTGCCCTCAGGAACCCAAAACCTGTCCCCAGGTGATGCCAACCCTTCCCCTCCTGTCTCACCTGATGACATGAGCAACCAGGAAGCTCTGGATGTCGGGGCTGCTGACAAAAGCCAGGTCCCCATTGCCCAGCTCCTGGCAGTGCCGCTGTGCCTCCAGCCACTCCGCCTTCTCCACCACCAGCTGGTAGCAGTGGTTATTCCCCGGGAAAACCAAGCCCTCAGGGGGGCACATGGGGTGAACTGCTGCAGAAAGGACACAAGGGTGATGTCACAAGGGTGATGTCACAAGGGTGATGTCCCCTCCACGGGCGACACAGCCCCACCAACCTGGGCAGAGGCTCCGGGAACGGCCCAGCCCTGAAGCCAACAAACTGTTTTGAAGCCCAAAATGGAGAGACAGGAGCGCCCAGAGGAGCCACCCTCACCCCTCCTTGGGAAGGGAGGGAAAGGGGAGGCCCAGGAGCCAGAGCCCCCCGCCCCAGCAGCCCTGCTCACCCCTGCCCAGCTCCCCGGGCTCGGCGGTGATCCCGTAGAGCACCGCCAGCCCCGTGCCGCCCCTGTTGCGGATCCGGATGTCCAGGCTCTCGTTTGCCACCACCAAGGAAGGACATTGCAGCTCCAGCTGTTGGGGTGGAGCCACCACCTCAATCTCTGCCTGCTGGTACAGGAGCCTGGAGCCCACGAGGACGGTGGCAGTGACGTTGTAGTGCCCGGGCAAGGCGTAGCTGTGCACAGCTGTGTGTCCAGTGGTGTTGAGAACCTCGCTCTGGTCCCCAAATTCCCACAGTAAAGTGCTGACAGCAATGGGAATACTGACATTGAAGAGCACAGGCTGGTGCAGGCTGTAGCGGGGCTGGAGTCCTGTGAAAGACACAGGCAGCTGTGCCTGGAAGGGCGAGGGGACGAGTGAGGGGCCACCACAGGCCTGCCCAGACAAATGCTCAGTGCAAAATGGCAAACAGCCGGAGGAAGAGTTTGTTTCGTGGGCAGTTCCACACAAACACTGCCCCTGGGAGCTGAAACCCCCATACTCCTGGCCTTGGGAGTAGCAGAGGCCACTGCAGGTCTCCTCGGTGAGGTTCCCAGGGTGCACAGACGTGAAGAGGATGACAAGTTCAGCTTCTTCGGTGTGGTTGCCTGTCAGACACGTGATGTACTGAGCTCCTGCAGGACAGAACAGAAGATCCTCTTGCAAAACAGACTCTGGGATGCTATGGACTGGTGAGATCCTCCAAGAGAACCACCCCACACTCCTGGGAATGGAATTCTCCTACTCAGTTCCTACTCTGAGCATTTCGTTTTTGAGACTTGCCTGGGAAGTCTTTAATCCCCCAGCAACAGTTTCCAAACTCTTTATGCTAATTAGTGATGACAGAAATAACAAGCCAGTCACACAGATTTATGGAGCAGCAGCACTCAGTAAATAAAACGGGGCTTTGGAGAGCCTGACACTCCCATGGGACATGGAGCCGCCGAGTCTGACACTCAGAGGAGCCCACAGGACTCGCTAACAAGTGAGCCATGACAAAAGTGTGGCCTTTGGTGCTTCCCTGGCTTGCTCAGTGCAGAATGTTCCACCACGTGCTGCTTGGGACCTCCAGCAGCAAATCCCAAACCAACACCCATGGGGCAGGGACACTGCTGGACCCTGCACCAGCCCCACTCCCTGAGGCACCTTTCTCCATGGGGACAGCCAAGAGTTTCCCTCCTGGCAGGAAAACGTGGTGCTGGAGAGGAGAGGAGGGCAATGCCAGGCCCGGCTGCCCCCGAGGGAGGTGCAGGATGCCCAGGGGAACAGGGACACACAGGGGCTTGGGCACAGAGCCACGACAGCCCCAGAGGAACTGCTCATTCCCTTGAGTGTCACCCCCCTCTCTGGCCTGCACAGGGTGGGACATTTCCCTGCCACAAACACCCAGGCAGGGCCTCTCCCTCGGCCTCTGCCCACGCGGCCCGGCCACGTCTGCGCCGCTGTTGCTGCTGGTTGCTACAACATCTGCCCCAAACATCTCAGCAGCTCCAGCCTCGTGTGATCTTCCCAGACCAAACCCATCCAACTGTCCAGCTTCCTCCACGGCCTCCCTGAGAATGCTGAGCCACTGCTCCTTAGAACAGTCCCCGGAGAGGAGCACGGCACAGGAACTGCTCTGTTTTCCACCACCAGCCTGGTCATTCTTCATCCCCTGCTGGTCACTGAGAACTGTCAGGAGCTGGCAGGCCATCCCAGCCTACTCTCATTACACTGAATTACCCAGAAGACAGCCTCACATTATTGTTTCCACACTGGCTTAAAGTAGTTCAAGAGGGAACAACTAATTATCAAGAGCAGTAACAGTGCCAAGTGTTTTTCCCTTTGAAAATTCCTTCAAGATGCTGCAAGCTGGGGCAGCTTTGCTGGGGGAAGAGGAACAACCACCACCTGGATTTTGGTCCTGGGGAACACTGTGCCTCACCAGGCAGCTCAGCTGGCTCCCACCAGCTCTGGGTCCCTCAGCCTCATCCCTGCATCCTCCTGTCACACAGCCTCACCCCTGCATCCTCCTGTCACACAGCTCTGTCTCCTCATCCCTGCATCCTCCTGTGACACAGCTCTGGGTCCTCACCCCTGCATCCTCCTGTCACCCAGCTCCCAGATTAAAGGAGATGCCTGCTGCCTGCCACAGGGAGCCCTTGCTCTCTGCAGGGAGATTCTCTACATTCTCCTGCAGTCAGCAGCATGCCCCTGGAGCAGGTACATCAGGGCAGTGTTCATTCAGCTCTCCCAAAGTGGAGCCCTGACACCTGCAAAGACCCAACTCAGCCTGTCCTGGGCTGCCATCACCTCCCATGAGGTTTCAGTGCTTGAGGTCAGCTGCTCAAACCCTGGGAGAAGGAAAGCCTGAGGCTGCAGGTCATGCAGCCAGAGCCCTATGGTGTCTGTGATCAGAGCTAATCTCAGCCCTGGAGTGAGTGCCTTGGTCCTCACACAGACTGAGTTACCAAAACCTGCTTAATCACATCAGAACTGGTCACTCAAGGTCTGAAGAGGCCCCAGCTGCCCCTGAGCCCATCACTCCCAATCAGCCACCTCCACCCCCAGGCTCTCCTTACCACAGGTGGCATTGAGGAACAGGACATCGAAGAGGGACAGGTTGGCCACCTCAGGGGGGTGGGCACATCTCGTGTCTGATGCCTCAAGGACTCTCACTTTTCTGTCTTCCACCCAACGGGGCAACCAGGACAGTTTGCAGTCACAAACAAATGGATTCCAACTTAAGTTTCTGTCAGAGGGAGATCAGAACAAGTTAGGGATTAATGTGACATGTGCTAAGCCTTAATTACAGCAGTGTGCCGAGCCCTCCCTGTTCCCATCTGTGCCACTCCACTGAAAGGCTTTGGAAAAACTGGGAGAGGAGTTAATGAATAGGGAATCAAGCAATAATTAACATGATTTTTCTAGAGGATAGAATTAGGCAAGTACTCCAAGTACTTTTTTAACTCTACAAATAATTGTTGCAATTAGAAGCAAATGACAGACACAATCATTTATCTAAAATAATCTGCCATGCAAGAGCCCCAGGGTATGAGGGCAGCCTCTCCTGCTCGGGGAGACTATTTACAGCCCCATTAAAACATAGCTAAGGGAATAAAACTGATCTGTCAAAAAAAGAAATGCAAAGTCAGTGATAATCCTTCCACGTGGCAGTTCAATGAAAAAAGGGAAACTTTAATTGCAGCTAAGCTTGGTCCAAATTACAGCCTTTGGCACTCAGCTGTGAGCAGGACAGGGCTGGGGATGTGTGTGGAGCTGATGCCAGGGCGTTCACAGGGCTCAACCCCGACTCTGGGGCTGAAAGCACCACTTTGCCACCAGGCTGAGCAGGGACAGGCTCCTGGGACCCAGCCCTGGGCCTTTGTGTCTTTGCAGAGCCCCTCGTGAGCCACACTGTGAATGCTCTTTGTGTCCTGTCCTCAGGGACAGTGTGAGCTGAGCTCTTCTCTCTGGCTTGCACAGGGTTAATCCTCTGGCTCCTCCAGAGGCAGAACTGCCATTTTTGCTGTGATTTCAGGGGTCTCTCCTACAAATGTGTGCCTTCCCCTCACCTCCCTTCACGCAACATTGAAAGACCTCACTTAAAAAACAAAACCTACAAACTTGAATCACTTGAGGGCAACATCTTCAAGTGACTTGGACCCCTGAGTCAGGACCTACCATGCTGCAGGAAGCCCTGGATGCTGCAGTCCCGAGGTGTGACCATGCACACAGCACACAGTGGCCCAGAGCATGGCCAGAGACAAGAAGCTCAGCAGGGCTGCTGTGGGAGAGAAGCCAGGAAGACAAGAAGGCAGCAGGTTGGAGATTCCCAGGAGACAGAGGCAAAGATGAGGAAGAGGTCAGGACTGAAGGACAACAGGAGCAGGACACAGCTTGAGGAAGGAACTGGAGACACCCCAAAAAGCAGCTGCTTGGGTGGGCAGCCCAATATCTCTCCAAGTCAGCACAGCCTCCCACCCCAGCGGGAAAGGAAGGGATGTTTCAAGGAAAGGTCTAAAAAAAGAACTGGGAAACAAAATGAACTTACATTTCACTTAAATTAAATAAATTATCAAATATTCCATCTTCTAATGTAGAAATCTTGTTGTGGCTTATATCTCTGTAAAAGAGAGAAAAGTTCATCATGTTAGAAGTAACTTCCTCATCACTGCAGCTTTTCCCTGGCAGGGTGGGAGGCCCTGGCACAGCTGGGGCTGCCCCTGGATACCTGGAAGTGTCCAGGGCCAGGCTGGACAGGGCTTGGAGCAGCCTGAGGTAGTGGAAGGTGCACTTTAAAGGCTTTAAGGTCCCTTCCAGTATCAACAGACATCTTGTGGTAATTCTCCTTCTCTGGCCTTGAGCTCCTCTCCATCCAGCAGTACAAGGGGGTCAAGTCCTGCCCAACTCCAAATGCCAATAATTCCCAAATCCCCGGATTAAGCAGCTAAAGGCCTCAGGGAAGGAGCCCATGGTCAGAACCACGTGGGGCTCGGGAGATGAGGTGGAGCATGAACAAAGCAAACCAGTGCAACACGAGCCAGGGCCCAGCTCAGCCGTGCTGGGGGCACTGGGAGGACTGGGGGCACTGGGAGGACTGGGGGCACAGCAGGTACTTACAGCTTTACCAGCGAAGTCAGGCTTCTGAATAGCTCAACATCTAAACCACTGATCCTGTTATTGGAAAGATCCCTAGGGAAAGAAAAAAACCCACATTTTCAGCCTTTGTTCAACCCCATTTTGTCACACCTCCATTACCAGACCTCAGAAGAGCCTCTCTCCAAGCTCCAACCAGAATCCTGACTGCAAACATGGTGTGTTGAAGGCACTCAGAGCATTTTTCCCAGCCAAGGAAAACACCTTTCCCAAAACCATAAAGCATTTGCTGCTCACATAACCTGTAAAAAGAGATCAGGAGTCTCAGGATGTGCCCTCACTCTGCAGCACACCTGGAGCAACTACACCTTGCCACACGTGCTGCTAAATGTGATGCATCCTCTCTAAAGATATTAAAGTCTAATCTTTGTTCAAAGAAGTCTTTAAGAAGTACTTTAGACTCAAGTAGTAATTAACTCAGAGGAAAATTTATGATGAACTTCCAAGTGTGTTTCTCGTGCCAAAGCCCTGATCAGTAATTACACAATTGATGCGTCAACTCCATGTTTTAAACATCTTTTTGTCTCTCTTTGGAAAAGCTTAAAATGGAAGAAGAAGCAACAAAGAATATTTTCCATTTGAAATCAGGACAGATTATCATTCTAAAAGGAACACTGTTTAAAAAAATCTCCAGTTGCTCCCAGTAACACCAACAGCCTTCAGCTCATCCAAACCAAACTCTCCCTGTCCAGCTCTCTCCTCACCCACCATCTTCCTCCCCAGATTTAAATGTCAGTCAGAGAAGAAGCGAAAGTTTCGCTCATCAGCCTCCACTTGTTTCCAATAAACTTCACTGTTTGTTTTCAGAAAAATCTCCTTTTTTTTCTTTCTTTTAGCAGCACCAAAACATTTACTCCAAGCCCATGTGATGGTTCTTATCCTTCATGGATTTCTGGCCGAGCTCCCAGGAGAGAACAGGGCTGGACACACTTTGCCACCAGAACTGTTCTCCTGGCATCTCCCTTCTCACCATTTTTCCTACAAACACTTCCTCTCATTTCTGCTGGCTGTCTCACTTGTTATCTCTACCCCTTAATCAATTGTTTCTTGGTTTGATCTGACATTTAAACTTCCTTTATCCAAACGAAAATAATTCTGCCAAACTGGCAGGAAAATGATGTACGATTCCAGGAAACTGGGGATAAGTAACAGGGATGGATGTCTCTTCAGAAGGTTTGTTTTCCCTGATTTTGCTGTCTGGGAATTCTTTGCCAAGCTGAGATTGGATTCAGAAGAGTTCACCAGCAACACCAATAGAGAAGGCGAAGAAATGTGCAAAATAAAAGCTCAATAAATACATTAGAAAAAGGACATTAACAAAAATATCCAATCACACCGGCGATCTCTGTCTCGGAGCAGCTGGGACAGCAGTGGAGGAGCACAGAGCATCCCTGGCTGAGCCACACTCTGCACAGGGGTCAGCAGAATCCCCCCTAAACCTTCTTCCAGCTCCCTCCTGGGACAGAAGCTCAGGCTGGAATGCAGGTGCTGCCAGCCAGGACAGAGCCTTCCCCAGGGACAGCCCAGCTCCACCTCTCCTCAAACACTTTCTGTACACCAAACCCCTCTGTCCCTACTGCTCCCGTGTGGGGAAGGAGCAGAAGGAGCAGAGTTCCAACCTGCCACCTTACAGGGAGATCAGGACAAATATTTCCCTTCTCTGAAATACCTGGAAGTCGCCCATTTAGTTTTTAGGCAGCACCTCAAGTCCAAGGAAAGGAAATGGGAGTTTCAGCTCAGATGCCTTCCTGCTCCTCGCCCAGACAAGCAAAACCTCCAAAACAAACCATTCAGCTGCTACAAAAACAGGGCTCTGCCATTTCCAAGAGCCTCTTCCAAGGTGCTCCTTGGCTGTGGGGCAGCTTGGGGAGGTGTCAGGACTCGGATCCTGTCTTTGGGGTGCCAGCACTGTCGCGTCTCACGGCTGGGGAGGGCTCCCGTGCCTTGCTCTCCTTTATCTGCTGATAAAGGAGCTAGGCTGGCATCCTGCACACCCCAGAGTCCAGCTGGCATCGGGTGTGGCAGCTGAGCTCACCCATCCGAGCATCCTGACCACAGCCCAGGGGCAGAGATGTTCCACCACTGGCACTCCCTGGGGAGAGCTGGGGCTCAGCTCCAGAGCCTCAACCCCTGGAGGCTGCAGTCACCCCAAGGCCTGACACTTTGTCACTTCACTACAGCTCAGATGCTGCCCAAGGATCCCCAAGGCCTTGGTTCCCACCTGTGTCCCACACCCACAGACACGGCTGAGCTCCATCCAGGCCAGGCGCTCACCGGTACCTACAAACCAGGGCAATTCCCTTGCTGCTTCCCTGCCTTCATGATCCCATGAGGAACTGGAATAAAACCTCTCAGTTTTCACCCTCCCTGACCCCCTGGGTGTGGAGCCTGCACGGGAAGCAGAGCTTGGGTTGACAGGACAGCTGGGAGCAGTGAGGAATGGTGGATCCATTCCTGCCACCTCCAGGGAGCTGCCTTCTCCCACTGCTCCCTCTCCAACATCCACGGAAAATCATCTTCTGCCTTCCTGGCATGGGAGACGTGGCTGTGAACCAAGCTGGGCTGCAGGAGAAAAAATAAACCAGGAAATACTGAGCAATGAAAGGCAAGGCAAAGGCTGTGGGACAGAGCTCGGCCTGGCGGTACCACAAACTGCCACGACTGTGTTTTCCCAGCCCACTGCCAGAGGAAAACCGGAGGATTTTTGGAGGCCTGAGGAAATTCGGAGCAGGTTCAAAGCAGAGCTGAAGCCAGCAGCAAACAAGGCTCTCCATTGACATTCTCTGCACACACAGCCTGACGCCCTCCTGACGAGGAGAAAGAAAAACGTCGTTTCCTGTGGCTCGGGGGACTTTAGGAACACGCTGTGCCTCCTGGAAAAGTGCAGCCACAAGTCACAACGCCTCAGTCCTGCCTCAGCTTCCAGAGCTGTGAAATGGAGCTGTGCAATGGCATTCTGTGGGACACGGGGCACCAAAACCCACCAGCAGCTAGGGAACAGGACACGAGTTCCTGAGAGCTGCCCACACCGCCACGTTCCACCTCCCAGCCCAGCAAAGGGAGAGCTTCAAACACTGCTGGAAAAGGGAGGTGGTTTAGTGAGGAAGGTGAAGCTTTGGGAAATAAGGGAATATTCAGCAATGAGGGAATATTCAGCAATAAGGGCGTCAACTTGAGCCTTGGGAGCCTTCAGCTCCATCCCAGCCCTGCTACAGCTCCCTGTGTGATGCTGAGCATCCCTGAGCCTCTCCGGAGCTGGATACCCACAGCCCAGCTCAGAGAGGGGCTGTGAGGATGGATCCATCACAGACACCACCAGCCCGACCTGCTGCCCATGCATTTGGGGAATTTTGGGGGAAAAGGCATCAAGAACCGGTTCCTTCCTCAGCTGCAGCCCTGGAAGAGGGAGGGAACGGGAGGGCTCGGTGCCGATTGAGGGAAGCAGGAGGGAGCAGGAGGGCTCAGTGCCACCCACTCCATCCCTCACTGATGCTCAGAAGCCCCCTCAGAGCCAGCCCAGGGGTTGTTCCTGCACCCTGCTGTGGCCAGGCTGGTTTTGGGCACTGCTGTTTGCTCCCTCATTCCACGGAACATATAATGTTCAGCACAGTATGGGCGGCCCTGCTGCCAAGCCTGATGTCATGCTCTCATTATGTCATTTGTGGGCCCGCTCTGCCTCCATTTCCCAAAAAGGGAGGGAGGGAGAGGGAGGGCAGAACTTCCCCAGCCCTTTTGGTGCAGGGAGCAGTGCCAGAACAGTAATGGGGAAAGCATCCAGAGACGCAGAAGCGTCTGAGCGAGAGGAGCCCTGGGGCAGAGCAGGCCCAGGAAAGGTCCAGGTCTGTAACCACGACCAAGGCTGAGGTTTCTGGGGGACAGCGAAGCTCCAGAGGAGCCAGGGAAAGACAGCTCCCAGCAAAGCCCAGCAGTGCTCCCATTGCCCCATCAGGCAGGTTGTGGCTGTCCCTGGATCCCTGGAAGTGTCCAAGGCCAGGCTGGACAGGGCTTGGAGCAGCCTGGGATGGTGGAAGGTGTCCCTGCCATGGCAAGGGGTGGGACTGGATGGGTTTTAAGGTCCCTTTAAACCCAAACCATTCCAAGATTCTGTGAAAAGCCAGGCTGCATTCCACAGCCTGTGACCAGTGAGAACCAGAGACAGGACATGTGAGATGGCTGCTGGGACAGAGCGAAGCCCAGAGCTTCCAGAGCCTTCCATCACCTGCCAGATCCACAGGCTGCCCGAGAGATGCCCTGCACAGCCCAAATGCTGCCTCCCACGTTGCCATGGCAAACACTTCCCTGTCTCCAGGAACAAAAGGCAGCGTGGAGCTGATCCTGCCTGACACACACAACAGACTTTCCAGAAAAGAGCAGGAAAAACTCTGTGTGCTTTTGCCTGCCCAAGCCAGGAAAAATTACAGGGTTTTGCTGATCTGATTCCTTTTTTCCTTCATCTTTTGGCTTGCACCTCTCCAAGCACAGCAGAAGCAGCAGCACTTGTGCACAGAGGTGAGGACAGAGATTATTTCCACAAATGGCTATGGAGATCTGAAAAAGCCTGGATTTTCCTGTGTGCTGGGCACAGGGAGCAATGCTGTGGTCCTGCAGTAGGGGCAGGGACACCCTGCCTGGCAGGAACAGCCTCACAACTCCCCTGCACCAGGAGTTCTCTGATCTTCATCCCCAGTTACTGTTTTCAGTCAAGCTGAAGCATTTCCCAAGGTAAAAGGATTCCAGCTCCAGCACACATCACCCCCAGGAGCTGCAGCCCAAGAGGGGCCTTTCACTGGTGGCAGGCAGCTGTGAGCACCCTCATCTACCCGAGCCTGTCACAGCACGATGACAATTTATTTGTTCATTTTCAATTTATGAGTTTCAAATGCTGGCCCAAGTCCTTGGCTCTCTCTGAGGAATTCGCCCCAAAAGACTTTTTCACGAAAATTCATCTAAAAATGGAATGTTTTCCTTCCTACAGCAGAATCCTAATTGTTGATAGGAAATGCAAGGCGAGATGAGGATCTTGGCAATGTTCTGTACACTCTGTGCTCTGCTGAAGGGAGCA